GGCAAGCGGCAGAGACGGAGCAGGCCGACCACCAGCTGGCCCAGCCCAAGGGAGGTAAGGCACCCGCCGGAAAAGGGGAAAAAATGGCAGACAAAAAAAATGGCGGACAAAAAAATGGCGGACAGCCTTGCTTGGCGACCCCCGTGAAATGGTCGATCGACCCCAAATGGGGTCCCGACCCACAGGTTGAGAACCACTGCCATAAAGGGAGGGAGCTGAGAAGGACATCCCTGTACCTGTAACGGGGCCCAACATGTCCGTTGCTAAGTGAGGCAGTTAAATGAATTTTGCCTCATTTGTTGACCTTTCTTGCCGCCCTTGTTAAGTGAATCACTGCAGTTGTTCACTTAGTAACAAGGTTGTTAAGTGAATCCGGCTTCCCCATTGACTTTGGTTGTCAGAAGGTCACAAAAGGGGATCACGGGACCCCCGGGACACTGGAACCGTCCTAAATATGAACCAGTTGCCAAGCACCTGCATTTTGATCATGTGACCATGGGGATGCTGCAATGGTCGTAAGTGTGAAAAAGTCACAAGTCACTTTTTCAATGATGCCGTTGTAACTTTGAATGGTCGCTAAATCAAGTGTTGTAACTCATGAGTAAAGCATGCCAGCTGGGGAATTCTGGGAGTAGAAGTCCAAGCAAATTCTCAAAGTTGGAACCTCTGCTCTAGATCCATTACACTACAGTTCCCATCCCCCTTCATTGGTCCTCTTACTGCAGTGGTTCTCAACCTGTGGGTCGGGACCCCATTTGGGGTCGATCGACCATTTCACGGGGGTCGCCAAGCAAGGCTGTCCACCATTTTTTTTGTCCGCCATTTTTTCCCCCTTTTCCGGCGGGTGCCTTACCTCCCTTGGGCTGGGCCAGCTGGTGGTCGGCCTGCTCCGTCTCTGCCGCTTGCCAGCTACGCCTCGGCCGGCGCAGGGGGCAGAACCACGCATGCGTGGCGCTCCCGGGCAGGGAAAGTCCTCGACTTACGACCGGTTGGGTAGTCCTCGACTTACGACCGGTTAAGTCCTCGACTTACGACCGGTTAAGTCCTCGACTTACGACCGGTTGGGGTTGCGGCATTAAAAAGGTTGAGAATCACTGTCTTACTGGATCCTCCCCCTTTGTTTTAATGTTGCCTGATCTCTGTTCCTCCCCTCCCCCCAGGCTCCCCAGATGCCCTCTGGCAGATCCTCCAGCTGACTGACAATATCCGGGCGTCTCCAGACCTCAAGGCTGCCCTTGCCATCCACTGGGCTTTCTTGGAAGGAAATTTTGCCCGTTTCTTCCGCCTGGCCCGGGAGCTCCCTTACCTTCCCAGCTGCGCCCTCCATCCCCACCTGGCCAAGACGCGGCGCCTAGCGTTGCTCGCTTTCAGCCACGGCTTCAATGCAAAGAATTGCCGGTACCCCCTGGCCC